GATTATCTTCTAACAAGGAGTAATTTTTATTGCTAAATTTACAAAACCATGAAAACTGTGATCTATAATGTGTGAAAGGCTTGTGGGTCTTGATTTCAAAGAGTCTTAAAATATATTTCTGACACACAAACTGTCAGATACTGAAACACGGGCGGTTGTGCCAAATGGTTGGAACACAAATCAGTAGCAAGGAGATCAAGATCAGAGCCAGAGGCGAGATGCCAGAGCCAAGGGTCAGAGCAGGAGTCGGAAGTCAGGAACCAGAGCTGATGATCAGAGACGGGTTACCTGGAGTAAGGCTGGGTCCAAAATGGGAGTGGGTTAGGGCCCAAGGTTAGAACAGGGCAGCAGCAAGGCAGGGAACAAGCAGGCACAGGAGCTATCCCAGTCACTGACCTGCTGCCGGGCTTAAGAGATGGTCTCCTGACTCTTCCCATAGCCAGTTAGGCAGCCTGCTACAGGCTAGCTGTGCTCGTTAGGTTGCCTGGAGACTGGTTCTGTTGCAGGCCCTGATTCCTGACAACCATGCAAGGGCAGCTCCTACGGTCCTTGGGGCCCAGCTTCTCAAGGTACTTCTGATGGAACTCTTGCAGTAGGTCTGGGGCAGGGTTGTTCTCTACTGGTTCCCTAGACCATTTATCCAAACTGTATCCTTCCCAGTCCGCCAGGTGCTGGAGCCTTCGCCTAACTTGTTGAGAGTTGAGAATTTGGTGGACCAAGTATTTCTCCTGTCCATGGACTGTTGTTGTTAGTAATGACAAGTTGGAGTGGTTTGGGTATGGGTTCTCAGTGTAAAGCTTTAGAAGTGAGATGCGAAAGACAGGGTAGATCTTCAAGAACTTGGGCAGCTGTAACACGAAGGCCATAGTTTGCAAAGAATGGGCTATGTGGGGTCAAGATGTGGATTGCATTGTTATATGTGAATTCAGCAGGGAAGCCATTTATCCTTGTGGTAACAGCACAGAAAGCAGCAAACATACTGCTCCAAGAGTTGATTGACTCTGTTTGCTCATTAGACTGAGAATGTTAGGTGGATGCAGGGAGGGACTCGATGCCAAGGAGACTTGAGAATTTTTTGCCAGAATAGGGAGATGAACGGGGGGTCTCTGGTCCTATATAATGCCCATTGGTAACCTGTGTTAGCGGAAGACATTTTCCAGGAAGAACTGAGCCATCTCCTGTGCAGTAGGTGTGGGATGAAGTGTATCATATTTTTAGGAGATTGATGGCAGCCAGGATTACAGAGTATACCTGAGAACATGGAAGTTCTTCCATAATGTCCATTGATATATTAGATCAAGGCTGTGTGGGCAAAGGCTAAAGGAGACCTAGGGATTTTGATTGTGGGTTCTTGTTACAGGACCTTATATAATCCTTGATGTAAACTTGTCCGGGTCTTGACTTGGCCAAAATGGCCAGCAAGTAATGAATCATGACATAGTTTGAATACCCAAAGCCTGAGTTGTCCCTCTGGAACATAAGTACAATCCTTGCGATAGAGAAGACCATTCTGTAATCAAAACTTGAAGTTGGGTCAGGTACCCACATCGTCATTCAGGGTCTGGTGGATCTGTGTTGCAAATGGGTCATCAGGGAGCAGGGAGTGGATTGAAGATGTCAGACTGCTATCAATCATCTTGTTGACAGAGTAGGACCCCTTGAGCATGGTGGCAGAGGGCCCTTCATCAGGTTCATGATATTCATCTTTGCGGCATAGCACATCTGCCTATCTGTTTCTTGTGCCTGGGCGATAGGTTACTACAAAATCAAAGGAAGCAAAGAAGAGGGACCAGTGGATCTGGTGTTGGTTAAGGCATCTAGCAGTCTGTAGGTACTCCAGGTTCTTGTGATCTATCAAGACTTGGACCAGTAATCAGGCTCCTTCTAGAAGTTGGTGCCACTCCTCAACAACCACCTTGATAGTCAGTAGTTCCTTGTCTCAAATATTGTAACTTTTTCTGCCTGGGTTAGCCTCCGACAATAAAACGGATGGGGCAGAATTGGAGGACTACATGTTAAGATAAAATTGTACTTATGGGGAAATTTGAAGTATCAGCTTTGATCATAAATGGTTTAGTGGGATCTGAGTGATTCTGGGTGCTGAGGTGAATGCCCTTTTCAGTCGATCAAAGGCTAACTGAGCCTCACTGGACCAGGCAAACTGGGCCACCTTTTGCAGGAGCACTGTTATGGGTGCAACCAGGTTGAAGAATCCTTTAACAAATCACCTGTAGAACTTGGTGAACCACAGGATTCTCTGCACTCCACATATGTCCTGTGGTGTGGCCTAACTGAATATTGCTGCCACCTTATGTGAGTCTATGGTGAGTCCCTTTGGCTGAGATGATATATCTCAAAAATTCCATTGCGTCCTTATCAAAGAATTTCTTGAGATTTCCGTAGAGGTGGTTGGCAGATCCTCTCCTAGACAGTGCACGTGTGATAATTATGGAGGGCCTGACTTTCAGAGAAAAAGAAGATGTCGTCTAGGTAAATGATGAAAAATTGGTTGAGCATGTCCCTAAAGATGTCATATATGAAATGCTGCAATGTCACCAGGGAATTACAATACTCAAACGGCATGACCAAATACTCAAAAAGGCTATATCTGGCACAGAATGTTTTCCATTCATCTCTTTCCTGGATCCTCACCAGGTTATGAGTAAGGCTGCGATTCTTTCACAGAGGTCATGGAAGTCACAGATGACTACCACAGTGGTTGGTGTGAGGCCAGCTGCTCTGGTGCCCCACGGCCAGCTGCACCAGCCAGTGCTGGAGTGACCTGGGGACAACTATTCAGGCGGTCCCCAGGGCCAGCCGCACTGGCCACTGCTTAGGAGCCCCTGGGCAGCTGGCTCTGGGGACCACCCAAGCAGTGGCTGATCCCGGGGATTGCCTGAGCAGTGGTCCTGTGGGCAGCTCCGGGGAGCGTCTGAGCAGCAGTCGTGGGGTTGCCTTGGGGCCAGCTGCACTCGCCACTGCTTGAGCGGCCCAAAGGGGTGCCTGAGCAGTAGTCCTGGGTACTATCCCGGGGCCAGCCACACCATCTGCTGCTCAGGCCCCGGGCAGTTGGCTTTGGGGACTGTCTGAACAGTGGTTGGTGCAGTTGGCTCCGGGGACTGCATGAGTAGCAGTCCTGTGGGTGCCCTGGGGACCAGCTGAGCAGCAGCGGTCCCGGGGTGGCTAGGGCAGTGGCCGCAGGGATGCCTGGAGGCCGTCTGGAGAGTGGTCCCCAGGGAGCAGCGGCCGAAGACAGTCAACCCCCAGAACTAGAGCAGGGGGCCCCCAGAGCACCGGGGCCTCAGAAGTAGAGATTTAGTCAGGGGTATTTTTGGTAAAAGTCATGGACAGGTTATGGACTGTGAATTTTTATTTATTGCCCGTGACCTACCCATGACTTTTACCAAAAATACTCGTGACTAAATCTTAGCTTTAGTTATAACCTCGTTGAGATCCAACTGTGTGAAGACCTTGGCAGAACGGAGTCTTTCAAACAATGCATAAATAAGCAGAAAGAGGTACCATTTTTGGAATGTTATCTTCTTAAGAGCTCAATAGTCCAAACAAGGCCAGAGGGAGCTGATATCTTTGCCATGTGCCCCTGTTGGGGATGTGGAGGGGCGAATGAACCCCCCCACCCCTGCAGGTTTTCCTCGAGATAGCTCTGCAGTGCCTGTAGTTAGAGTTTGGAGAGCGAATAAATGTGCCCGAAGAGAACCTCTGCTTTCAGCTGGAGGTCAAAGGGGAATCATAGCTGCAATGAGATGGTAGGGTGTCAGCTTCTCTTTGCCAAACATGTTGACATAGTACTGATATTTAACAAGGATCCCTGGGGATGTCAGGGAGGATGTGGGGGTTGCCAGGGTCCTGTCTGGATCCTCTCTCCACGTTTCTGAATTCTTTGGAGGATCAAGTAAGCTGCAAAGGGTTGCTGGTCCTGGGTCGGGTCTTGGGAAACAGGATTGTTGGCAAAATGGGGAGTGCTACCAGTATGTGCTCATAGGTAGGACCCTAGCAAATTCACGGTCCATTTTGGTCAATCTCATGGTCATAGGGTTTTAAAAATAGTAAATTTCATGATTTCAGCCATTTAAATCTGAAATTTCATGGTGTTGTATTGTGACCCAAAACAGGAGTGGGGGGGGTTGCAAGGTTATTGTAGGGGGGTTGCGGTACTGCTACTCTTACTTCTGCGCCGTTGCTGGTGGCGGTGCTGCCTTCAGAGCTGGGCAGCTGGAGAGTGGCGGTTCCTGGCTGGAAGCCCAGCTCTGAAGGCAGAGCCACCACCAGCGACAGCCCAGAAGTAAGGATGGCAGGGTATGGTACTGCCACTCTTACTTCTCCGCTGCTGACTGCAGAAATGTGTTTTTCATGGCCGTGAATTTGGTAGGGCCCTACTCATACGGAATGAGCCAAGGGATGCCAAGGACAACTGATGAATGCAGTGTATGAACTAGTCAAAACTGGAGGGTTTCTTGGTGGTTTCAAAGGGTAGTTACCTCTCAGGGAGCCATCTGGGGGTGACTGACCCTGATGAAGGAGTGACCTGTCTATGGACTCCACTAATTCGGGGCAGTCCTTGTGCTGGGTGGGGATCTTGAGTGGCTGGGCAAACTCTAGATCCATTAAATAGTCCAAGGCACCCAAGTCCACCAGTGCCTCTACATTGGTGTGAAGCATTGCATGGTTCCTGAGCTGGAGAGGGAGTTAGAGATGTGTTGGAGACTGATTGGCCAACACCGGTGTACTAGTGGTCAAGCATTGGAGCAGCTTGCTGGGGAGAGAGGAAGGGTGCCAATCCAGCTCATACCCCACCATCAGGGGCCGGGACTTGGGCACAGATTTACCATGTCAGGAAGCTTGATGCAAAGTGCCCTCGTTCCCTGCAGGATAGGCATAGGCCCGATACCCATCACTGATTCATCTCTGTGTTGGAGAGGTGGGGCTGGACCTGATCAACTTGCATGAGTCTGGACAATGAAGAAGGGACTGTTGATGGGAGGGGCGTGGGTGCTGGAGAAAGCAAGGCTGACAAGAGCTGGGAGGACCATCTTTTTTCTTGGTGGCATTTGATCAGGTGGTCATCGATCGTGATGCATAGGTTGATAAGGCATCCAAGCCAGGTGGGGATTCCACCTGTACCAGTTACTTTTAATATCATTGTTTAGGTCAAACCAGAAATAACACTGAGTGGCCTCGTTCTACTTCTACCAAGCATTGGAACTCTGCTGCATATTTAGCAACTGGTCAATATGTCCCTGCTACAACACCTAAAGCATAGCTTCAGCCATATACTTGTGACTCCGATCATCAAAGATCACCACCATAGCTCAAAAGAAACCCTCAAATTGTCCCATAAGCATGTTTGATCTTTCCAGGAGTGGCAATACCCAAGCCAGGACCTCTCCAGTAGTCAGACTGATAATCAGTCCCACTCAGCCCTGGTCTACACTAGGACTTTAGGTCGAATTTAGCAGCGTTAAATCAATGTAAACCTGCACCTGTCCACATGATGAAGCCCTTTTTTTCAATTTAAAGGGCTCTTAAAATTGATTTCCTTACTCCCCCCCTGACAAGTGGATTAGCGCTTAAATTGGCCTTGCCGGGTCGAATTTGGGGTACTGTGGACACAATTCGACGGTATTGGCCTCCAGGAGCTATCCCAGAGTGCTCCATTGTGACCGCTCTGGACAGCACTCTCAACTCAGATGCACTGGCCAGGTAAACAGGAAAAGAACCGCGAACTTTTGAATCTCATTTCCTGTTTGGCCAGCGTGGCAAGCTGCAGGTGACCATGCAGAGCTCATCAGCAGAGGTGACCATGCAGAGCTCATCAGCAGAGGTGACCATGATGGAGTCCCAGAATCGCAAAAGAGCTCCAGCATGGACTGAACGGGGGGTACGGGATCTGATTGCTGTATGGGGAGAGGAATCCGTGCTATCAGAACCCCGTTCCAGTTTTCGAAATGCCAAAACCTTTGTCAAAATCTCCCAGGGCATGAAGGACAGAGGTCATAAAAGGGACCCGAAGCAGTGCCACGTGAAACTTAAGGAGCTGAGGCAAGCCTACCAGAAAACCAGAGAGGCGAACGGCCGCTCTGGGTCAGAGCCCCAAACATGCCGCTTCTATGATGAGCTGCGTGCCATTTTAGGGGGTTCAGCCACCACTACCCCAGCCATGTTGTTTGACTCCTTCAATGGAGATGGAGGCAACATGGAAGCAGGTTTTGGGGATGAAGAAGATGATGATGATGATGAAGTTGTAGATAGCTCACAGCAAGCAAGCGGAGAAACCAGTTTTCCCGACAGCCAGGAACTGTTTCTCACCCTGGACCTGGAGCCAGTACCCCCCGAACCCACCCAAGGCTGCCTCCTGGACCCGGCAGGCAGAGAAGGGATGTGAGTGTACCTTTTAAAATACTATACATGGATTAAAAGCAAGCATGTGAAAGGATTAATTTGCCCTGGCATTCGCAGCTCTCCTGGATGTACTCCCAAAGCCTTTCCAAAAGGTTTCTGGGGAGGGCAGCCTTATTGCGTCCTCCATGGTAGGACACTTTACCACTCCAGGCCAGTAACATGTACTCGGGAATCATCGTACAACAAAGCATTGCAGTGTATGTTTGCTGGCATTCAAACAACATCCGTTCTTTATCTCTCTGTGTTATCCTCAGGAGAGTGAGATATCATTCATGGTCACCTGGTTGAAATAGGGTGCTTTTCTTCAGGGGACACTCAGACGTGCCCATTCCTGCTGGGCTGTTTGCCTGTGGCTGAACAGAAATGTTCCCCGCTGTTAGCCACGGGAAGGGGGGAGGGTTGAGGGGGTAGCCACGCGGTGGGGGAAGCAAGATGCGACCTTGTAACGAAAGCACATGTGCTATGTATGTAATGTTAACAGCAAGGTTTACCCTGAAAGAGTGTGGCCACTGTTTTATAAAATGTGTCTTTTTAAATACTGCTGTCCCTTTTTTTTTCTCCACCAGCTGCATGTGTTTCAATGATCACAGGATCTTCTCCTTCCCAGAGGCTAGTGAAGATTAGAAAGAAAAAAATATGCATTCAAGATGAAATGTTCTCTGAGCTCATGCTGTCCTCCCACACTGACAGAGCACAGACGAATGCGTGGAGGCAAATAATGTCAGAGTGCAGGAAAGCACAAAATGACCGGAAGGAGAGGTGGCGGGCTGAAGAGAGTAAGTGGCGGGTTGAAGACAGGGCTGAAGCTCAAATGTGGCAGCAGCATGATGAGAGAAAGCAGGATTCAATGCTGAGGCTGCTGGAGGATCAAACCAGTATGCTCCAGTGTATGGTTGAGCTGCAGCAAAGGCAGCTGGAGCACAGACTGCCACTACAGCCCCTGTGTAACCAACCGCCCTCCTCCTCAAGTTCCATAGCCTCCTCACCCAGTCGCCCAAGAACGTGGTGGGGGGGGCCTCCGGCCAACCAGCCACTCCACCACAGAGGACTGCCCAAAAAACAGAAGGCTGGCATTCAATAAATTTTAAAGTTGTAAACTTTTAAAGTGCTGTGTCGCATTTTCCTTCCCTCCTCCACCACCCCTCCTGGGCTACCTTGGTAGTCATCCCCCTATTTGTGCGATGAATGAATAAAGAATGCATGAATGTGAAGCAACAATGACTTTATTGCCTCTGCAAGCGGTGATCGAAGGGAGGAGGAGAGGGTGGGAAGTACAGGGAAGTAAAGTGAACCAAGGGGCGGGGGGTTTCATCAAGGAGAAACAAACAGAACTTTCACACCGTAGCCTGTCCAGTCATGAAACTGGTTTTCAAAGCTTCTCTGATGCGTACCGTGCCCTCCTGTGCTCTTCTAACCGCCCTGGTGTCTGGCTGCGTGTAACCAGCAGCCAGGCGATTTGCCTCAACCTCCTACCCCGCCATAAATGTCTCCCCCTTACTCTCACAGATATTGTGGAGCGCACAGCAAGCAGTAATAACAGTGGGAATATTGGTTTCGCTGAGGTCTAAGCGAGTCAGTAAACTGCGCCAGCGTGCCTTTAAACGTCCAAATGCACATTCTACCACCATTCTGCACTTGCTCAACCTGTGGTTGAACAGCTCCTGACTACTGTCCAGGCTGCCTGTGTACGGCTTCATGAGCCATGGCATTAAGGGGTAGGCTGGGTCCCCAAGGATACATATAGGCATTTCAACATCCCCAACAGTTATTTTCTGGTCTGGGAATAAAGTCCCTTCCTGCAGCTTTTGAAACAGACCAGAGTTCCTGAAGATGTGAGTGTCATGTACCTTTCCTGGCCATCCCACGCTGATGTTGGTGAAATGTCCCTTGTGATCCACCAGAGCTTGCAGCACTATTGAAAAGTACCCCTTGCGGTTTATGTACTCGCCGGCTTGGTGCTCCGGTGCCAAGATAGGGATATGGGTTCCGTCTATGGCCCCATCACAGTTAGGGAATCCCATTGCAGCAAAGCCATCCACTATGACCTGCACATTTCCCAGGGTCACTACCCTTGATATCAGCAGATCTTTGATTGCGTGGGCTACTAGCATCACAGCAGCCCCCCACAGCAGATGTGCCCACTCCAAATTGATTCCCAGCTGACCGGTAGCTGTCTGGCATTGCAAGCTTCCACAGGGCTATCGCCACTCGCTTCTCAACTGTGAGGGCTGCTCTCATCTTGGTATTCATGCGCTTCAGGGCAGGGGAAAGCAAGTCACAAAGTTCCATGAAAGTGCCCTTACGCATGCGAAAGTTTCGCAGCCACTGGGAATCATCCCAGACCTGCAACACTATGCGGTCCCACCAGTCTGTGCTTGTTTCCCGACCCCAGAATCGGCATTCCAGAGCATGAACCTGCCCCATTAGCACCATGATGCATGCATTGGCAGGGCCCATGCTTTGAGAGAAATCTGTGTCCATGTCCTGATCACTCACATGACCGCGCTGACATCGCCTCCTCGCCCTGTATCGCTCTGCCAGGTTCTGGTGCTGCATATACTGCGTGTGGTGTTTAATGTGCTCCTAATTGCCAAAGTGAGCTGAGCGGCCTCCATGCTTGCCTTGGTATGGCGTCCGCACAGAAAAAAGGCGCAGAATGATTGTCTGCCGTTGCTCTGACAGAGGGAGGGGCGACTGACGACATGGCTTACAGGGTTGGCTTACAGGGAATTAAAATCAGCAAAGGGGGTGGCTTTACATCAATGAGTATTTCAGGCAGGACTTCATGGAGGGTTCCAATAAGAAATGGTGCACCTAAGTAATTGTTCTTATTGGAACAAGCAGGTTGGTCTGGCCTTTGATTGATACATGGCTAGATTTACCTCGCTGCACCTTCTCTGTGAGTGACTGCAGTGTGACCTAGAGGAATGAGTCCCCTAGACGGGAGGGGCGGGGGGAAGCAAATGAGTACAAAACAAATCTGGTCTATTTCTTGTTTTGATCCACTCCATCTATCTTTTACATCTTTGGCTGGCAGCAGACGGTGCAGAAGGACTGCAAGCCATCCACATCTCATGGCTGCTCGGCAGAAGATGGTGCAGTAGGACTGCTAGCAATCCGTATCGCCTGCCTGTTCACCATAAGATGGTTCAATAGGACTGACTGCAGGACTAAAGAGAATGACCTGGTCAAGTCACTTCTAATGTAGTCCCTGTACCCATGTCTGCCCAGGCGCTCCTGGCCGACCTGGCCAGGAGCACCTCGGACATGACGATGACGGCTACCAGTCCTACTGCACCGTCTGCTGCCACAAGGCAAGGGGTTGCTGCTGCTGTGTAGCCATGCAGTACCGTGTCTGCCAGCACCCAGGAGACATATGGTGACAGTTACCTGAGCGGGCTCCATGCTTGCTGTGGTATGGCGTCTGCACAGGTAACTCAAGAAAAAAGGCGCGAAATGATTGTCTGCTGCTGCTTTCACGGAGGGAGGGAGGGAACGGGGGCCTGACGATATGTATCCAGAACCACCCGCGACAATGTTTTAGCCCCATCAGGCATTGGGATCTCAACCCAGAATTCCAATGGGCAGCGGAGACTGCGGGAACTGTGGGATAGCTACCCACAGTGCAACACTCCGGAAGTCGACACTAGCCTCGGTACTGTGGAAGCACTCTGCCGAGTTAATGCACTTAATGCACTTAGAGCATTTTCTGTGGGGACACACACACTCGAATATATAAAACCGATTTCTAAAAAACCGACTTCTATAAATTCGACCTAATTTCATAGTGTAGACATACCCTCAGGCTTGGTCAGTAGGGTATAACTATCTGAGGGACTGTCCTGTGGGGATATATGGGTTAAGATCTCCAAAGGAGCGTAAGGGTCACATAATCAACTCATGTGGTGCGAGCTAATCTCTACTTTCATAGCTGTATTTCAATTTAAACACCTAAAATGAACCCACATTAAACTCTTGCTTTACCTATAGATTCTTGAGGCTTCAGCCTCCTGTGTCACACTGTTGAGATGGGTATTTCAAAGCGGTTATGAAGTGGGGGCTATTTTAACTTGCCACTCTCCCATCATAGACCCAGTTGCTTTCAGCACTGTTTTCTGGCAGGCGGGATTCTTGACTCTAAGGATATATCTACAATGCCAAAAATCAAGTGTATTCTTAACTCAAGTTAAAATAACAGTGAAGACATGGTAACTTTGTATTTTAACTTTAAAAGCGACTTGAGTTAAAGCTCATAGGAGAGCTCAGGAATGAACTTGAGCAGCTAAACGTGTTGCGGAGTTGCCATATCTTCACAATGGCATTTGAACCCAAGTTAGCTAATGTGGGTTAGCTAACCCAAGTTAAGAATCATAGAATCATAGAATTAAAAGGGACCTCAAGAGGTCATCTAGTCCACTCCTCTGCACTCGTGGCAGGACTAAGTGTTATCTAGACCAGTGCTACTCAAAGTGGTGGTCCGCGGACCGGTGCCGGTCCATGAGCCATCAGCTGCCAGTCTGCGCACGCATTGGAAAAAAAAAATTGCTGGTCCCCCACATCAGATAGCTTGAGAAGCACTGATCTAGACCATTCCTGACAGGTGTTTGTCTAACCTGCTCTTAAAAATCTCCAGTGATGGAGACGCCACAACCTCCCTATGCAATTTATTCCGGTGCTTAACCACCCTGACAGGAAGTTTTTCCTAATGTCCAACCTAAAGCTTCCTTGCTGCAATTTAAGCCCATTGCTTCTTGTCCTATCCTCAGAGGTTAAGAAAAACAATTTTTCTCCCTCCTCCTTGTAACAACCTTTTACATACTTGAAAACTGTTATCATGTACCTCTCAGTCTTCTCTTTTCCAAACTAAACAAACCCAATTTTTTCAATTTTCCTTCATAGGTCATGTTTTCTAGACTTTTAATCATTTTCATTGCTCTTCTCTGGACTCTCTCCAATTTGTCCACATCTTTCCTGAAATGTGGCACCCAGAACTGGACACAATACTCCAGTTGAGGCCTAATCAGTGCGGAGTAGAGTGGAAGAATTACTTCTCGTGTCTTGCTTACTGGACTTTGCAGATGATGTTGCTCTCCTATCACATACCCAACACCATATACAAGAAAAAAACAACTGGACAAAACACATTCAGCCAATAAATTGTACTGAAAATCAACTGCAATAAGACAGATATCATGACCTTTAATATTGCCTCACCAGTACGGATAGAGGATTAAGTTCTCACCACTGTAGAAACATTCATGTTCTTGGGCAGCATCATCAGCCAAGATGGTGGAACAGGCCAGGACATCTGGAACAAAATCAATAAAGCCAGGAACACCTTCAGGAGCTTAAATACAGTCTGGAAATCATCAAAATACAACACCAAAACCAAACTCAAGATTTATCAGAGCTGCGTACTTTCAACATTACTTTATAGTGCAGAATGCTGGGCAATGAGAAAGTATGACATGTCCGAAATGTCTTCATTCCATACAACCTGCCTCAGAAAACTCCTCTGTATCTTTTGGCCCAGAACAATCTCAAACCAAGATCTATTGACACAGTGCAGCCAAGAGGATCTGAGCACCATCATTGCCAGGAGGCATTGGAGATGGATCGGTCATGTGCTTCAGATGGAAACTGATTCTATCACCAGAGTAGCAATAAGATGGACACCTGAAGGCAAGCAAAAACGAGGCTGCCTGAAAACTACATGGCAAAGAGCTGTGGAAGCCAAGCTGAAAAACCTGGGGCACAGCTGGGAAACTACTGAAAGACTTACCAGAAACAGACAAGAGTAGAGGAGCTTCGTCACTGCCCTAAACGCCAGAGGCATAATAGGAACGTGATGATGATGGTCTTGCTCACAACTCTCCTGCTAATACATCCCAGAATGATGTTTGCTTTTTTTACAACAGCATTACACTGTTGACTCATATTTAACTTGTGGTCCACTATGACCCCCAGATCCCTTTCTGCAGTACTCCTTCCTAGGCAGTCATTTCCCATTTTGTGTGTGTCCAACTGATTGTTCCTTCCTAAGTGCATTTGTCCTTATTGAATTT